CATGTGAGCAGGATGCTCTCCACGTACAAAGGAGCTTCAAAAAATTGGTGGGAACATGGAATGAAAAGATCATGGAATTTTCCTACAGATGTTTTGCAGCTTGCAATATTATGGTAGTCTGTTAGATAGCAAACCCATCGTCATTGAGCTGATTCTAATTCATGTGTCAGAGTGGAACTGTGCTCTACACAACTTTCAATGGCCAAGATTTTAGAAAATAAACCACCAGACTTTTAACCTTTAGACTTTTGTTTAGCAGCCAAGCACCTTAACCACTCAGACCATTCAGGTCTCTTGGCATGTTAGAGATATGAAATTAATGATTAAATAAATCAATGAAATGATAGTTGAATAAGCAGTTTATCCATTTACTATTTGACTGAGTCCTAGTTCTGATTATCTATAGCCATATTTATATCTGTACATCTATGGTGTGCTTATGTACCAAGCCATCCCCACTGCTAACTCTAGGAGAAAGTTAAGTGTCTCAACCCACAGGTCCATAGGCACCCAATCTTCATTTATCAATATGATTAGGTACCAAAGACCACGTCATTATGCAAAAATTGGTGTTATGTGAAAATAGAGAATGACCACATCAGATCACAAAATGGAGGATGATGACATCAAAATGGAGGATGACCACATCATATCACAAAATGGAGGATAACTACATGATGTAACTGCCAAATTACATCACTGCATAACTGCCAAACCACTGAGAATCATGGCTTAATCAAGTTGACACACAACCTTAAGCACCACAACCAAAGTGACTCTTGCTTCACACCTCAGCCAGCGTTGGCTACTGTCAGATGGACATCATCGGTGTGCAAAATAGTCTGCGGTAGATTTTTTTTCACTGTTGTGATGAATGCTGAGCATCAACTAATGAGGTAGTTGGTAGGTAAAGAGTGATGGTACAACCAGCCTGCTGCTTCTCCAATTTTCATGAAATAGAAATTTCTCGAAAACTTGGTTAAAATACAGATTCTGATTCAAAAGTGTTGGGAGCCTGAAGCTGGATTCCTGGGTGATGCTACTGATTTGACAACCACGTTTGAGAGCGTGGGTCTAAACACAGCAGCAGCCACTCCCCTTCTGTTACCTCTGTGGCCTGGAACCAGTAATGAAAGCTGTCTCGTGCATGCTTATCCGTACAAAGGAAACCCAGCTTTTGAATGTCCTGTGACCGCCAGTGTTTTTGCAAATACTCAATGTATGCATTAAGCTACAAACATTGGGCAGAATAAACATTTGTTTGTGCCTGTCACTTTGGTTTCATCACACCTGTCATTGAGTTCAGAAATATGGGAGAGGAGGCACTTCCTAAAGTATCCATTGTAGTGGCAAGTGGACCCAGTGAAGGTGGGCGGGGGAGGGCCGGTGTTTGCCGGGGAAGCGGCCTGGAGAGTGTTTCCATGCAACCATGGTGTGTTCCGATCGCACTGGAGATGCAGCATAGACCTCGTTGCAATTTTATTGGGAAGAGCCCCACCCTTCCACACTCGCCTGGCCATGGCCGAATTCCCAGTGTGTCTGCTCCGATCCTGGTAAACAGTCAGTGATGGCTTACTCATCTCAAGGCCTTTGAACCCCACACAATCCCTTTGCTGGCATGCCAAGTCTTCTAGAGGTCAAGTATTCCCATTGAAGATGTTGAGAAGGAAAACGCCTTCTTTTCTGTCTCTTTTTCCAGATGTCCTTGGGCCAGCAACAGTCAGCAAGAGCAGTGCCTTGTCTCAGATGCAAACAGACGTGCTCCGGCTTCGAGCCACATTCGTGGAGGTAACAGACGTGCTCTTAGGGGGCTCTGCTTGCTTGGGGGCTTTGGCTGTCCTTCTGGGAACCCTGCTGGGTTTCTTCTACTGGGCTGTCCATGGTGCAGAGTGCGTGCTCTCTGATTCTCTCTAGCTCAGTCTCATTTGTGCAAAAACAGAGCAAAACCCTTCTTCCCATTGGGTTGACTCCTACTCATTAGACCCCATGTGTTTCAGAATAGGATTGCTCCAGTGGGGTTTCCGTCCTTCTTGTCTGTACCCTTTACAAAGCGGCTTGTCTTCCTTCCACAACACACAAGGCACCAACCTAGCAGTTTATCAATAAAACGTGTATATCAAGCATGGCCTAATTGAGAAACAAGGAAAAACATCTGTGGGGTGCAAAGCTGAAGGAAGTTGTTCAAGTGTGCCATCCAGTCAATTCCAATTCATAGCGAGCCTCTAAGACAGAGTAGACCTGCCCCATAGGGTCTTCGAGACTTTAATCTTTACCAGAGCAGAACACTTGGAATAGCTATGGGATTTGAACTGCAGACCATTTGTTTAGCAGCTGAGCATTGTGCCACCAGGAGTCCGTAGAACAGTGATTCTCAACCTATGGGTCACGACCCCTTTGGGGGTCGAACGACCCTTTGACAGGGGTTGCCCGATTCATAACAGTAGCAAAATGACCGTGATGAAGTAGCAACGAAAATACTTTTATGGTTGGGGGGTCACCATATGAGGAACTGTACGAAAGGGTCACAGCATGAGGAGGCTTGAGAACCAGTACCAAAGAAGGAACTGACTCACTCCCCACTGCCAGAAAGTTCTTGCCAACTCGTAGCGGTCCTGCAAAGGATTTCTGAGACTCCAGATCTTTACAGCAGCAGACTGCCTCATCTGTCCCAGAGAGCAGCTGGTAGATTTGAACCATGGACCTTGTTGTTGGCAGTCCCGTGCAGAGGTCTTAGTGCTTCATACGTGGGATCAACTTGAGGCCACCAGCCTCAGCCCAGCAGTGCTGCCCCAGGAGAACGTGGGCAGTGGTCCTGGTGTCTTGCGTATCTGAGTCTGTCTGTCCTAAGGTTTTCTACATGGGGTTAATCTCTCCCCACTGCGCCGTCATTCCTGCTGGTGGGATTAAACCCAAAGGAGACCCTGAAAGAGCAATTGAAGTCCTTGTGTATGTGGTACTTACTAACGAGAATCCAGAACTCACCTCTAAGGTTTATAGAGTTTTCCTATTTTTTTTGCCTTTTTAATTCTCTGAGACTCTTGACAGCCAAGGAAATGCTACCACCTTGCATAAGTCCAGGGCATCACAACCTGGGGCCCTGTTCTCAGGAACCCTGGGAGAGAGGCTGAGCTCTGGAGAACATGATAATCACCAAGGAGCTCCTGTCCCCATAGACAGAGCTTCACCTGCGGCACTTACTCAGGGGGGACAGCATTTGGGAGGTGTTTTTCAGACATGCTGAGTTCCATTGTGAAGTGGCAGTGCTAAGCCATAGTTTGGTACCACGTGTATTTACCATATTGAACTGAGCTCAACTTTCTATATTTAAATCTGGGGAAACAAACATAGGTATGACATATCAGTTTCCCTATTTTGCAAATCAGGAAATTGAGGGTGGGTAAGGCAGAAATGGCTACTTGATGGCAGGATTCTAACTCAGGTTGGCATCATGCCCCTTTTCAGGCTGTTGACCGTCCTGTAAGACTGTGGGCTCTGAGCGTAGGTCCGTGGGTAATACAAACAGTTAATGCACTCAGCTGCTCACCCAAAGGCTGGGTCAACCCCACCCAGAGGCACCTTGGAAGAAAGGCCTGGTGATCTGCTTCTCCAGCACCCACCGCTGAAATCTAGGGAGCACAGTGCTGCTGGACACACGGGCCACCACACATCGGACTGGACCCAGCAGCGGCTGGTGGAGGATGAGCTTTCAAAGTACAAGACCTCTCCTTGACTCCATTCTCTGGCAGTTCTCAACTTCAAAAGAACTCACAAAATGCTTCTGGATGCAAGGGGCCTTCAAGGCCAGCCAACCTAAGCTGCCAGCCCTCTTTCAGCTAAAACACTCCCCCGACAGGGAACTTTCCATGCTTCTGATCATCGCCCTGAGAGCTCGTTCTGGCCTGGAGGAACATCAGCTTCCTTTTCACCGCAACCTCTTGGTCTTCGATCTCTCACGGAGAGCCCTGCGGGGGGCCTCTCCAGCTCTTTGAAGGCTGCCAGGAGGTCTCCTTTTAGGGTGGCGGGGGCAAAGAGGTTCTCTAAACGGACCACGAGTCCATTCAGTAGTGTTGTCCCTTCTCTCCAGGATCATAGGCTGTTGTCTGACATCTGAAAGCACTTTGTAAAGACACTCTGTATGGCTTTTGGGTTGTTTAGGGCGGGAGGGGCATTCCACTCCTCAGCACAGAAGTTGCTCTGCGTTGGTTTTTTTGTTTGGTTGTTTTTTGGTGTTTTTTGTTTTTTAGAAATCATTTTATTGGGGGCTCTTACAGCTCTTATCACAATCCATATATACATCCATTGTATCAAGCACATTTGTACATATGTTCCCATCATCCTTTGAAAAACATTTTCTTTCTACTTGAGCCCATGGCATCAGCTCCTCTATTTTTCCTTCCTCCCCAACCCTCCTACCTTTGTGACCCCTTGATAAATTATAAATTATTATTATTTTCATATCTTACACCGTCCACTGTCTCCCTTCACACACGTTTCTGTTGTTTGTCTCTCTCGGGGTGGGGAGAGGCATCGTTATACATCGCTCATTGAGATCGGTTCCCCCTCTTTCCCCCACCATCCCCGTTTTTAATCCCACCCTTGCCTTACCAGCCGACCAATGATCTGGAAGTCCGGTGAATTTGTCTTTCGGAAATATGGATGATAGCTGGCAGAGCCTGCATCTCAAGTGTCCTCCCTGGTTTGATCAACCCTAGCAGGGACCTAGAGTACCAGGTGGGTGATATGGAAATGGCTGTAAGACGGCAGGCAGACATGATGCTGGATCTCATGCTTTAACCGTTCTGTAAGCCGGGCCAGCAGTGACGATGGTAGGCAACTGACCATTGAGTTGGCAGTTTGAGCTTCCCAAAAGTGCTTTGGGAGAAAGGCTTGGCGATTTGAAAAATCAGCCTTTGGAAACCTACGGAGCATAGCTCTGCTCCGACACACATAGGGTCTCCACGAAGCCCAAACACTGCACACGCTGCCACGGAGTCAGTTCTGGCTCCTAGCTAGGTCTCCTGTGGTTTTCCAGGGCCAATCTAGAGAAAATTCGTCTGAGCTGTTTCAATTACTGAAAGGGGCCCTTCAGAGACGCTCAGATGTCAGTGTAACATCATTTTGCCTCTGGAACTTAATGGAAAGTGCACAAAGCATGATCCCACTCCCCATCTGTCCATCAGACTAACTAGGCTTGGCTCAGGCATCTCTCTACTTAAGTTCCCAGGAGATTTTGATAAACAGCCAAGTGTATAAAACCATCAGTTGACCTAGAGCCAGTAAAGGGCCTGAGAGTAAAGGAACCAGGCTTTTCAGACCATACAGTCTTCATTGCAACGCCAACCACAGCTCAGAAAGCGCACAGTATAGTATCATTGTTGTTAGACGCTGCCAAGTCCCTTTCAATTCACAGAAACCCAGCGAAACAGAGCGGAACTGCCCCATAGGGTGTCCCAGGCCCTCATCCTTACAGGAGCAGATTCGGGGGAGGGGGGAGGGCGGGGGTGTTAGTCTGGGTTGACTAGAGATACAAATCCATAGACATGCCTATGTGTATAAGAACGAGGTTTATATACAAGAGCAGCTGAATGTTGAGAAAACATCCCAGCCCGGTCCAGATCAAGTCCATAAGTCCTATATTAGCCCATATGTTGGATACCAATCTATACAGTCCTCTTCAGACTCGCGAAACACATGGAATGATGCCAAATGCAGGAAGATCCTAGGCCAGTGGGTGGGAAGTCTTGTGGCTCCAGTGGTGGCGTAAGCATCTCAGCACTGGCAGGGGGCTCCACGTGGCTTCTCTGGCTTTCAGGCTCTGGCGGCCATCCTCCTGTCTCCATGTGGCTTGTCAATGAGGATGTCTTGTAGGGACTGAGCAGAGAGAGAGTGTCTTCCGCCTCCAAGGAGGAAGACAGGAGTTCCCAGAATCCTCAGGAGAAGGCCATGTCCACACAGAGGCCTCATTGGCTCTATCAATGAAAAGCGAATGATGCTGACACCATTTCCGGGAACATCTCCCATTGATTGAAGTCCGTTTTAAAATGGTTTGCATCCCCAACAACAAGTATATCATCCTAGAAGTGTACAGTCACCAAAGATCTATAGGGCAGCCTCCTTTTCCTATTCCATGTTTGAACTGTATTGGAAAGTCAGGGAATTAGATGGATTAGGCCAGGATTCCTTCCTCCATCCTTCCACACTTGGCTTTCCTTCATTTCCTTCCCCTGTCCCAACCGGCTTCCACGGTGCTGCTGTCAGACCTGCATGCAAACCAGTGTCTCTATCACGTGTCTCCTTAGCCAAGTGTTTTCATCTTCATCAGCTGGTGCCGGAATAACCCAAATCACTATAAGCGAGTGTCTTTAAAGATCAGACTTGGTGGCCAGTTTTAGAAGGTAGACGTCCCAATCAGGACACTGGTTTTCAGAGGGAGTCGTTCATGGTCTGCAGCCCCGGCTTGCTTGTCATCTGTCTTACCTCTTAGGGGTATGTCCGCGTCTTTTCTGGTCCAGGCGTCATCAGGTTGAGGTTACACCTTACACGGTGATGTGTCCTCATGAACATAGCAAAAGAAATCCTCTCTTTCCAGACAGTGTCACATCCACACGTACAAAAACAACCCCAAAACTCAGTGCCATCAAGTTGATTCCAACTCCTAGGGTCCTAGGGGAAAGGGTAGAATTGCCTTTTGAGTTTCCAAGGCTACAGATCTTCATGGGAGCAGAGAACGTCCACTGTCTCCCACGAAGCACCTGATTGGTCAAAACCTTTCAGATAGTAGCCCAACATGTAACCCACAATGCCGCCAGGCTTTCTGTCCTCAGGTACAAGGACTAGGAATTCACGTAGGTGAGGGGACATAATTCAGTCTATAACTCCTGGTCCCTGAAAACAATAGGCAAGGGGACATTTCTCATTGTGAAAAACATGCTCCGTCTCTGCAAAATAACAAAAACCCAATCAAACTCGACGCCATCCAGTCGATTTTGACTCAGAGGGCTCCAGGAGGGCAGAGTAGAACTGCCTCTGTGGATTTCTGCACGTATCAGTCTTTACAGGAGCGGAAAGCCTCGTCTGTCTCCCTCGGGGAGGCTGGTGGGTTCAAACCGCAAACCTGGAAGTTAGCCGCCCGCAGCATACCCCACCACACCACACCACCAGGCCCTTCCTCACAGTAAACAACCCATTTGAGGAGAACAAAAAGAATTGACTTTGCATTTTTGCCCTTAGACTCTCCTTTTTAGTGCCAGAAATATCCTTGACATCATCTGTTTCCGCATTTCTCAAATTGTAACCGTGTGATTGTGAACTGAGACTCTAAGCTTCTCTTTGCCCTGAGAAATGCTCCCTTCTCTCCCCCTGGACATCCGGTTATGAAAGGCAAGACACAGCTTACCCTGAAGACGTGTTTTCACCATCGTTAACCAAGGGCTGTCCTCATTCTCGTCCAGGGAGCCCTTTTCCATGCACTGCTGCTGAAACCCTGGGGAGCTGGCCAGAGGAGGTGACGCCA